CTCCAGGTAGATGTGATCTGGAGATGAGCTTCTCTTTTTACTCTTCTTCCTGAGAAATTTCAAGATGCCACTGTTGGTCATTGTGACGTAACTCAGGATTTAATTTTTGGCCTATTTGTTTTTTAGTCTGCCTGTCCTGCTCCAAAATCCCCGTTCAGGCCTTTTTCCTAGTGATAAACAGTTCAGGGCCGGCTGTGGCCATTTTGCACTGCCGTTTGGTTTAAAGTGGAAACTGGCACTTTAAATTTCGAGATCTGTGTGAATGCATAGTAGAAATCTCCAGGGGTGTGGGTGGGGTGTCCACTCGCTCAGGCACCCCCTGTAGTCACCAGAATAGAGGTGTGTAGACTGCGAGAGACCAATGAATAGATTAAAAAAAAAAAAAAAAAAAGAATGTCCACACCTTTATTTCCACAGTTCTGTCAGGCATCCATGGCTGCTCTGATTCTTCCCCTGCCCAGTTTCGCCCAAAGATGGCAGCTCCAGGAGCAGATGAACATCTTGAAATAGAAAGCACTGGATTTCTTCCTTGTGCTATAAATTCCCCTAGCTGCAAACCTTCCAACCTTCTAAATATTCCTTTATATGTGGTTCAGAGTTCTGGCACCATCCCCTGAGCCTGCTTGGTCGGGTATTCTGTGTTGTTGCTGACTGAGAGCCTCACTGCATCGCTACTCTAGCCACCATCTTGTTTGTTCTCCCACAATGTGGTTTTTGATTTTGTTAAAACTTCTTTGTAGTAAGAAATAATTGCTCTATGCTCTTGGGGGGTGGGAATCTTTTACGATTACCCTTTTGGGATCCCCAAAAAACAATCTCTATAACCTTCTAAGCTGACCTCTCTGCCTCGAATTTAACTGATCCCCTCAGAAGCTTCTGTTTTGATTGAACTTTTTTTTGGAAGGGTCCCTACAGAGACTCAGACAAGCCTATTATTGATAGAATTTGTCTGCAGTCATCTACTGATCACAGAAACATCTCTAAGCAGGTTTCAGTTTGAACAAACCCCTGCATGTAGAAACTGGAGCCCTACTAGTAATACTTTTTGAGTAACCCCCCTGCATATCAATTGCAGTCCCGTCAACTCTGACTCATGGTGAGCCCATGTGTGTCAAAGTAGAACTGAATCCATGGGTTTTCATTGGCTGATTTTATTTGGAAAGGAGATCACTAGGTCTTTTTTTCTGAGACAATGCTGGGTGGACACAAACCTCTAACCTTTTGGTTGGCAGTTGAGAGCATTAATCATTTTTAAACACAGGGACGCTCTAGACCAGGAGTGGGGAACCTTTTTTCTGCCAAGGGCCATTTGGATATTTATAATATCATTTGTGGGCCACACAAAATGATCAACTTAAAAATTACCCTGCTATATTTGGTCAAACATTTAATTAACTTATCTCTAAGGAGCTCTGTTAGTGTAGTGGTTACGAATCGGGTTGCTAATCTCATGGTCAGCAGTTTGAAACTACCAGCTGTTCCGAGGGGGAAAGATGAGGCTTTCTGCTCCTGTAAAGATTTACAGCCTCGGAAACCCTGGACAGGGTTGCTATGAGTTGGAACCGACTCCACGGCATATAACAACAACAACAATGTGGTTCAAAGGAGTCATGGTGTGGTGCATGCGATAAAGCACTGGGCCACAAGACTGGCCTGAACCACAGGTCAGCAGTTCAAACTCACCAGCTGCTCCTTGGAAACCGTATACAGGGCCGCTATGATTGGAATCGATTCGATGGTACTTAACAACAACAACAATGTGATGGCTGAAACTGTGGTTGCCTTGACAGGGTCAGACCAAATGATTTCCCAGGCCTTATACAGCGCTGGTAGCGTAGTGGTTACGAATCAGGCTGCGAACCTCAGGGTAAGCAGTTCGAAACTACCAGCCATTTCACAGGAGAAAGATGAGGCTTTCTGCTCCTGTAAAGTTTTACAGCCTCAGAAGCCCTGTACAGGGTCGCTGTGACTCGGAGCCGCCTCCACGGCACATAACAACAACAACAACATACAGTCCATGGGCCAGACATTCCCCTCCCCTGCTCTAGACACACGCATATTCATATATACATTCTTTCATGTTTGTCATCACAAAAGATAACAGGTTGGGGAAAATAATCAATTTAGGAAAATATCGGTAGCATGATGAACAAAGTCTTAACATCCCGAATAGGCACTGTGGGTTAATGCACTGGACTGCAAAGACGTTTGAACTGCAAGGTTGGTGGTTCAAGCCCAACAACCGCTCCTCGGAAACCCTATACAGGGTTGCTATGGGTCGGAATCGATTTAATGGCGCTTCACAACAACTTGTGGATTAGATCTATTTCTCTGGAGAACCCTGACTGATACAGACTTAGAAACAAGGCAAACAAAACCAACAAAACCAATGCTATCAAGTCGATTCTGGCTCATGGAGACCCCATGTGTTACAGAATAGAATGGCTCCACAGAGTTTTCGTGGCATAATTTTTGTGGAAGTAGTTTGCCAGGCCTTTTTTCTGTAGCATGGTTGGGTGGATTTGAACTGCCAACTTTTAGGTTAATAGTCAAGCAGAAACTTTGCCACCCAAAGCAAAACTAAACCCACTGCCATCAAGTTGATAGGGTTTCTGAGACTAAATCTTTACGGAAGCAGACAGCCTCATCTTTCTCCCACGGGGCTGCTGGCGGGTTTGAACTGCCGACCTTGTAGTTAGCAGCCCGATACTTATCCTACAGCGCTAGCAAGGATCCTTCTGACCCATTTGTCACAGTTGGTCCTTGTCACTGAAATCTACTTTCAGGGATGAGTAGTGGGGAGGGTATTTAGAGACAGAGTCAAAGAGTAGGAGTTAGGAAAGTGTGCACATAGACAATTTCTGAGCTGGGATGCCTGTGCAGAGCCTGTCTCAGAGCTAACCTGCAGCGGATTTCAGCCTTAGCTTGTGGAAGACCCACCTGACTTGATGGCCGCATAGAGGGGCAGGCGCACGATGACGGGGAACTCATTCTTCCGGACTGCGTAGCTCTCTGGGTTGGCCCCATGTGTCAGGACGAGGAGCTTGACAACTCCCAGGTGGCCTCTCTGGCAAGCCAAGGCCAGCATCCAGTTCAGCAGCCGCTGGAAGCTACAGAGATCTGGGCAGATGACATGAAAGAGGGAAAGATTCCACCGAAGGGCACTGGTTAGTCATCTTCTCTGTGATCACTGATACAATCAAGCTGTCCTGTTTCCAGCTAAAATGACCTCTGTAGAGATGTTGGTGTTTTCTGTAATAGCCAGTAAAGCAGTTGCTGTGGACTCAATACTGACTCTTGGCACACCACATGTGTCAGAGTAGAACTATGCTCCATAGAGTTTTCATGGCTAATTTTTAGGAAGAAGATCACCAGGTCTTTCTTCCAAGGTACCTCTGGGTGGACTCTAACCTCAATTCTTTTGGGTAGCAGATGAGTGCTTTAACTGGTGGCACCTCCCAGGGTCTCTGTTGTCTTGAAGATCTCGGAATTGTACATGCATTTTCCAACACTGTATCAACCTACTTGCTCACAAAATACTGTTGTGTGAAGAAAGGCAAGACTCATAACAATAAATACAGTGTGGTCTAACTGTATAAATGATGTCTGTATGGAGCTAAGACTTGGGAGAAGTAACTCAGGGTTGCAGCATTAATTTTGGATGATGGAAATTCCAACATCATCCTCCCCTTCACCCTAAATCCTGACACTAACTTTATTATTATTTTTATTATTTTTTAAAGAGAGTAAGGTTTTCTTTACTCAGTTTTGCAAAATTGGGCGCCCAACCCAGTTGACACGGGCAGATGTTAGGCAAGGTCGGCTTGCAAAGAGTTTTAATTCCCTTGTCTTGAAAAAGCCACTCCTTCAGTTCCCCTTTTACTGGGTACTATGGAGTTTACAATCTACCCAGACTAGTCCTTACTGGTAGCATTCTCATTTAAAGTTAGTTTCCCTCTTCCCCATAAACTTCCCCTATTTCCTTGATGGGTTTATTCTTTTTTTTTTTTTTAAGTTTTTATTGTGAATTATGTGGGTTTACAAGGGAGAACATCAGTTTTACATTCATCCTATCGTATTTCGTTTCATTTCCTAACCCTAACTTTAAAATGGCATTACATCCAGGGTTTTGAAGACAGCTAGGTTAGGGTTAAAATATTTTAGCTGTGTAATTTGGGGCAAATTTCTTAATCTCAATTTAATCACTGGTAAGTGGGTCTAACAGCACACAGGCCCAATGTGAGGTTTGAACTTGAACACAGTATAATGCATGCCAAGCACCTGGCCCAGTAAGTGATAACTCATCAGGTTATTGGAGTACTGATACTTTGGTGCATTTCCAAATGACCTGTAATACATGTATATTTATCTTGTTATTAGGGAAAAAAAGGCTCTGATGAAAGAAAGACATCTAAACTCTCAGCTGGAAACTCTGAGAATGCCTCTTTGGAAGAGCTATCTATTTGATTCCAGGAAGAACCCTCAGCACACTGAGGGCAGAGAGTGGTGTGAGCTGATGTTACCGTGTCTTCAAGTTTAAAATAACTCAGTGTCTTTTGGATCTCGTTGCCATGGTAAAGTGACCTCATTCTCCACACAGACACTTCCTAACTGCACCATAACACGGTCTCATTTCCAGAGGCAGATTGTCCTTGGGAACCAAAGTGTTCCTAAGTGTGGCCAGAGCCACCGTCCCCTATTTGATAGGAAATTGACCCAGAAGTAGGGTAAGATCGGGAACACCAGGAATTAACATCCGCCATATGGGCTACTTGGCTCAGTACCTGGCCAGAGCTGGTACAAAACAATGTTGCCTCTTCTCCCTCGACTGTAAACCAGAATTCATGATTCAGAGGAAGTGGTAAATGAAAAGAAATGAGAAACCCAAACCAAACCCGTTGCTCTTGTCCAGTCCAACTCACGGAAATCTCAGAATAAAATTGCGCATCGGGATTTCTTTATAGAAGCAGCTCATGAGACCTTTGTTCTGCAGTACCAACCGTCAGTTTAGTGTTGTTTTTCTGGTTAAGTGGCAGCAAGCCAGTTCTGCCTCAAAGCTACCCTGTGTACAACAGAAGGAATCACTGCCTGGTGCTTTGCCATCCTCACACTGCTGCTGCGTCTGAGCACACTGTTTGAGAGTGCTCAGAGAGACCAAATGTTTGAGAGACCAAATCTCACCATCTTTGCTTCTTAGGAGCATTTTGGCTGTACTTCTTTCAAGACAAGGTTGTTTGTTCTTCTGGCAGTCCGTGGTATCTTTGATAATCTTTGCCAACACCACAATTCAAATGCAGAAATTATTCAGTTTTTTTTTTTAAACTCATTCCAGTTTACACATGCATATGAGGTGACTGAAAATACTATGGCTTGGGTCCAGTATACCTTAGTCCTCAAAGTGACTTTGCTTTTTAACACTTTAAAATGGTCTTAAAAATGGTACATTTGTCCAATGCAACATATCCTTTGCCTTCTTGACTACTGATTGTGGATCCAAGTAGAATGAAATCCTGTTTATCATGATTTTGCTTACTGGTTGAGTTGTAATGATTTTTGCTTTCTTTACACTGAGGTGTAATCCAAACTGAACTCTTTGGTCTTCATCAGCAAGTTCTTCAAGTCTTCTTCACTTTAAGTAAGCAAGTTTTGTCATCTGCATATCGCAGGTTGTTTATGAGTCTTCCTCCAATCCTGATACTTCATTCTTCTTTTAACAGTCCAGTTTCTCAGCATACAGATTGAATAAGAATGGTGAAAAGATACAACCCTGTGACACACCTTTCCTGATTTGAAACCATGAAGTATCGCTTTGTTCTATTTAAATGACTGTCTAGGCACAGATTCTTTGTGACTCCAATGAAGTGTTCTGGAATACCCTTCACAATTTCATTCATTAAGTTGTTATGATTCACAGATCCCAATGCTTTTGCGCAGTCAGTAAAACACAAGGAAGTACCTTTTTGGTGTTCTCGGCTTTCAGCCAAGATCCATCTGACATCAGCAATGATATCCCTTCCCTCGTTCAACATCCTCTTCTGAATCTGGCTTAAATTTCTGGCAGCTCCCGATCAGTGTACTATTGCAATAGTTTTTTAAAACAATTTTCAGCAAAATTTTAATTGTGTGTTCTATTAATAAACATTGTTTGATTCCGTGGGTCACCTTTCTCTGCAATGGCACATATATGGATCTCTTCCAGTCAGTTGGTCAAGTCATTGTCGTCCAAATTTCTTGGCAAACACTAATGAGCGCTTCCATTGTTGCATCTGTTTATTGAAGTGTCTCAATTGGCAGTCTGTCAATTCCTGAAACCTTGTTTGTCACTAATGCCTTCAGTGTAGCTTGGACTTCTTCTGTGCCATTGTTGTTTTTGGTAAGTGCCGTCGTGTCGATTCTGATCCATAGCAATCCTGTATAGGAATTCCAAGGAGCAGCTGGTGAGCTTGAACCACCAATCTTGCAGTTCAAACAACTTTGCAGTCTGATGCATTAACCCACAGTGCCACACCAGGACTCCTGTGCTATTGGTTTTTGATTATATGTTACCTCCTGAAATGGCTGAACGTTGATCAATTCTTTTTGGTACAATGAGTCTGTATATTCCTTCCATCTTCTTTTGATGCTTCCTGCGTTGTCCAGTATTTTGCCCTCGTTGTTGTTGTTGTTAGGTGCCGTTGAGTCAGTTCCGACTCACAGCGACCCTATCTATGCACAACCGACTGAAACACTGCCAAGTCCGGCACCATCCTCACAAAGGTTGTTTCACTCCACTATGCCAATCCATCTTGTTGTGAGTCTTCCTATTTTTTGCTGACTTTCCACTTTACCAAGCATGGTGTCCTTCTTCAGGGACTGGTCTCTCTGGACAATGTGTCCAAAGCATGAGAGATGAAGTGTCACCATCCTATCTGCTTAGGAGCATTCTGGCTACACTTTGTCCAAGACAGATTTGTTTGTTCTTCGGGCAGTTCATGGTACTTTCAATATTCTTCTCTAACACCATAGACTCCAACACCATTTTGTCCAGAGAATCCTTCAATATTGTAGCTTGAGGCTTGAAATTTTTCTTCAGTTCTTCTAGCATCAGAAACGCCATGAGTGCTAGTTTCTTTCGGGTTTCTAATTCCAGCTTTTTGCATATTTCTTTATAATGATTTATTTTGTCTTCTTGACCTAGTCTTTGAAATCTTCTATTTCTCTTTTATTTCATCTTTTTTTCACTTACTTTTTAAAAAATGTTTTATTGTGAATTATGTGATAGTTTACATGGGTGATCATTAGCTTTACATTCATCCTATTGTATATCGTTTCATTGTCATGGTTACAATCCCCTCCATGCATCATCCATTCATTTTTACTACTCTCCATTCAAAAGCAAGTTTAGAGTCTCTTACAACCTTCATCTTGGTATTTTCTCTTTCCTGTCTTTTTCATGACCTTTTGGTTTTTTGTGTATGATGTCCTTGATGATATCCCACAACTGTTCTGGTATTTGATCATTAGTGTTCAATGCATCAAATCGACTCTTGTGATGGTCTTGAAAATTAGGTGGAGAATACTCAAGGTTGTACTTGGGCTTTCGTGGACTTGTTTTACTATGTTTCAACTTCAACTTGAACTTGCACATGAGCAATTGATGTTCCCTCGTGAACACCTTGCCTAGCTCCTACCTAGCTTCTCTATCCTTGCTTCCCACAGATGTAGCCAATTTGATTCCTGTGTATCTGATCCAGCAAGGCATATATATATATATATCTGTCATTTATACTGTTGACAAATGGCATTTGTAATGAATCCGTCGTTGGCCTTGCAAAATTCTGTCTTGCAATCGTCAGCATTGTTTCTAGCACCAAAGTCATATTTTCCAACTACTGATCCTTCTTCTTAGTTCAAACTTTTGCATTCCAATCACCAATAATTACTGGAGCATCTTGAGTACATATCGGATCAGTTTCAGACTGTAGAAGTTGGTAAAAGTCTTCAACTTTTCACGTTTGCACCAGTGGTTGGTGCAAAAATTTGAATATTATTAGTAGTAACTGGTGTTTTTTGTAGGCTTGTAGGTATCATCCTATCACTGACAGTGTTGTACTGCAGAATACACAGATACAGATCATGAA